TCCTGGTCCGTTTGCTGTCCAGTGAACCCTGACCCCCGTCAGAGAGAGTCCCCCTCTTTCCTGGCACAGGGGCTACCGCCTAATAAGCCTCCGGGCAGTGCTGAGTGCAACAGCCACTCAGAGGTTGTCTTGGTTTCTTTTCAGCAGCGACTCGTATGCTAATGTTTCCTGCTTTTCAGATCGCAGAGGGCTTTGTCGATGGCAGGGGCCTCTCTTTCTGGGTTGCAGCTGCCCCCTCACAGGGGTGGGAATTGTCCATCCAGGGCCCTCCATCGGCCTTAAAAGCAACTGCCAGGAGCACTCACTTGCCTCTCTCCCCTCTCCCCCACCTCCCAGCCGTTTTCCCACGGGGATTTCTCCTGACTGTGTGGGAAGAAGGTGGGGAAAGGCTGAGAGGAGGAAATCTCACCGTATGTGGGAAATTACACAATAATAAGCTGTTCCAGCACATCTGTGTTTAAGTAGGTTTTCTCAAAAGCTGACTCCGGGTCTTAATTGTCTTTTATATATTTCTAAGTCCACCCAAGAACGCAAACTTTAAAGGAATTGATTTGTGTGGCAGGCACCCTAGCCGTTCTGGGCACACACTGGCAAACAACAGACATGATGTCTGTCCTCAAAGGATTTACCAACAAGGAAACCAAGATGAAGCAAATATTGTGAGCAATCGAGGATAAGAAGTGCCGTCAAGGAAAAATACAGCGGGGAGCATAGCAGGTGGACTTGATCTAATGAGGGGCTAAGCAAGTCCGAGCAGGGACTGGAGGAGGACAGTGGGCCTGGCCAAAGGGGACAGAAAATCGATGCCCCAGATGTCTTCATGAGATGTATTCACCTTTTCCGTTACTTCAGCCATTTCAGGAAAACAGATGTGGGAGGTCTAGGGTCAAATTTGTAGACAATTTGTGTTGCTAGCTAGCATTTGGAGGTCTTAAACAGTGAAATCAGGAGACTGTCCTGGAGGCCCTTGCTAAAAGCAATCCTCCTTGTGGCTGGTCCACGTCACCCTCACGTGTACCCACAATTAACAGCAAGAGTTATATTCAGAGAGGAGTCATCTAGAAGCAAATCAAAGACTGAGGATTTCCATAAGGAACGGACTATTTATTCACTCCCAAGGTCGCAGATGCTACAAATAGTGTGCCAAAAAAGATAACAGAGAACTGCAGACTGGAAAAACTCTTAACTGGTGACAAAGGGGACAAGACCAGCTAGATCAGCGGTGGGCAAACCGTGGCTTGAAAGCCACAAGCGGCTCTTGGCCCTCTGAGTGCGGCTCTTCCACAAAATACCATGGCCTGGGCGAGTCTATTTTGAAGAAATGGCGTTAGAAGAAGTTTAAGTTTAAAAAATGTGGCTCTTGCCGGCACTGGTTTGGCTCAGTGGATAGAGCGTCGGCCTGCGGACTGAAAGGTCCCAGGTTCGATTCCGGTCAAGGGCATGTACCTTGGTTGTGGGCACATCCCCAGTAGGGGGTGTGCAAGAGGCAGCTGGTCGATGATTCTCTCTCATCGACGTTTCTAACTCTCTATCCCTCTCTCTTCCTTTCTGTGAAAAATCAATAAAATGTATTTTAAAAATGTGGCTCTCAAAATAAATTCAGCCATTGTACTGTTGATATTTGGCTCTGTTGACTGAGTTCGCCAACCACTGAGCTAGATGATTCCTTCTTCCCCTCCTCCCTTGTACCACCAGGATTAGTTTCTACCAATTTCAAAAGATTTCATTCAGAGCAAGCAAACCAATCTCTCAAATTTCCCTAAGAAAAAACAAATCACAGGCAGGGTGTGGGGAAACCCAGAGGGGCCAATTCTGAAACTCACAGCTGTGCTTTCACATCTTGATATAACTGTTGCCAAGAACGGCAGTTTCTGTTGTTCACCTTTAAATCTTGAGTCATGCAAAACTCAATGACTCAACCTTTATTTTCAAAGTTAGAATCCCTGTTTAGGAGACTTGAATCTCTTAGGTAATACTTATAAGACTTAGGAGAAATTCCTTTAAATTCTGGCAGGCTAATTAATCGAGTTCTATTCGAGGCAGAGAGAAACTGGATTGAGTAACAACTGAACATATTTATATGAATTTCTAAGCCAAGTAACTGGCTACATTCTACTCAATTACATGAGAGAAAATTACGTAGGATTTAATACACAATTTGGCATTAACACTAGGTCATGTTTAAAAGAAGTTAATCCAGACCAATATATATATATATATATATATATAAAATATATATATATATATATATATATTTGGCTACCAGGAATGTCAGAGTTTTGCTCAAAATGTGATACTAACAAAAAAATTACAAGGTTAGTAGAAATTTTGGGATCCAAGAATAAGCCTGTGTAAGCTGATGGCTTCCACATAGTGGCAGAAATGACACGGGGAGAAATATACAAGGCCCATCACTGCTGCACTTCCTTTTGAACTGGAAGATTCTAAAGCTTGTTCTATTTTTACTTGACTATTCAAGTATTTGATAAATAACCAGAAAGCAAGAAAAATCTGCCGTCCCTTTCCCCCAATTTCTACTACAGAATTACTTCTAATGTTTTACTTGAATATATCTATATATTTGCTGTAACATAGAATAAGCAAATTTTAAGGCTAGTATAACCAAAGTTAGTGTTATAAAAAGTTAAAGGCTGTTTCTCATCAAGTCACATCCAATGACGACAGAGGACTCATTTTGATGACTTGTCAGAAAGGGGCTCAGTGGTAAATAGGCATCACACCCAATTGTGGTTGAAGGAGCCAACTGCGCATGCCAAGGCTCTGACTCCCCCAACGCTTTTATTTTCGCCAAGGTCAGTCACGGACATCTGGGGTGGCTGGTTGTACTCCCAGTAGAATCTGAGATCGAATTTCTCATTTGCTGCAGTCTGCATCATCAGACTTCTTAGCCAATAATCAGATGCTTCAAAGCAGGAACATTTTATATAGCTCAATTTCCTTTTCGAATTGGCGTCTTCTAGGAAGTGAGGGTCAGATTGGTCAGCCTATTTCTGCTGTGCCTTTTGTGTGTCAGGTTCACTCCTGCTTTAATACTGTATTTTTCGTTTTACCCTTAGATCAGATGGCTTGTTTTACATAAATTTTATCTTTGTATGGTCTGCAGCTTTGTAAGCCCTCTGAAAACTTTCTGAGACAAGGTCATGCATAAAGAAACTTGAGATACTTTTTCCTGTCATCAGGATTAAAGCTTATTATGTATTTGGCTAGGGGGAAAAATGGTAACATTTCCTAGCAAATTCATAGTCTCCTCTAGGTAAGAGTTAACTTATAGAAACCTGAATTTCAGGAGTTGAAAGGGAAGATGGATGCAAACTTCCCCAAATAAATGTTCCCAGAGGCTTCTGAAATTGCAAAAAAGATTCATTAGAAATGCCAAGACTGGTTTGGGTCAATGGATGGAGCATCGGCTTGGGGACTAAAGGGTCCCGGGTTCGATTCCGGTCAAGGGCATGTACCTTGGTTGCGGGCATATCCCCGGTGGGGGGTGTGCAGGAGGCAGCTGATTGATGACTCTCTCATCGATATTTCTGATTCTCTATCTCTCTCCCTTCCTCTCTGTACAAAATCAATAAAATATATTAAAAAAAAGGAAAGAAAAAAAGAAATGGAACCACTGGTGTTTAAAGCACAGGCCGCCAGGGAAGGTGCTGAGTTGGGGCACATTCCAGCACACAGGATAACCAGGTGGGATCTTTATTTCACAAGGTTCAAGGTACAGTACAAAACGAATCTGTACATCTCTCTATTAACAGGATTTGTTTACACAGTTATATTACACGTCACCAGCCTTTATACTGTATTTAATTAAATACAAAATAAATTTACAAAAAAGAGAGTCTGCCATGGTGTTCCTTCCGATGCCAGCTTACCGTCTTTCAAAGCTTCTCCTCAATTATTGATAGTGGTTGCACCTTGATCGTTTCAACATTGATTTCTTGTTATAAATCAGAGAATAGTGTCAGCTTGCGTGTCATTCCAAATAGAAAATACAGCACACGCGCGCGCGATGACTCTTTGCACATGCCCAAGATGTCCCTTTCATGCACACAAAATCAGATCTTTACTTGTGCAGACAGTCACTTTAAAACACAAATCTCTTTTTACGTGGGCTATTTTATATTTTCTTGAAATACCAAGTGGAAGGAGAAATTTAGCTACTTTGCAATGACTGCTCCACATTAAAAATCAGGGAGTGTCTCAATTTCTGGTCTTCAGAAATTTTATATTTTCACTTATATTTGTGAGCAATGACTGATATAAATACCTTCATGAAAATAGAAATTTCTTTCGCTTTATTTCTGGCACACCTCTAGTCCTAATATTGTGCAACATGTATGACACTCACTTTGAAAACAAATATGAGATGTCACTGGGGCAAACGGAGCCCATGCTGCCCTCCCTGGCAGGTAAAGGGTCTGTGTTACCGGAAGCATTTTATTTGGAAATGTGCGTGTGAAATGCCAGTCCAGACCTCTGGACAGGAAGTGTTCTATAGATGTAGCCAGACATAATACACATGCCACACACACACACCAAGAGTTGTGGCCTTCATTTGTAGGTTTGCATGCATACCTCCAACACACTGGTTTGAAGAACAAACATGAGGAGCAAAGGGGAGCAAAAAATTAAAAAAATAGATATGAAATACTTAAGTTTTCTGGAGGCAACAGTAGCCCTTTAATTAAATAAAGCATCAGATCATCACCAGTTCACAAGTAAAAGCTTCTACAGCTTCCCAATGGCATGAAGACCAGACAGCTCAGCAGTAAAACCCTCGCAAATTAACCTTATGTGTACACGGGTAACACACCGTCGTGAGGATTAAGAGTAATACAAGTTAATGTCATTTAAGTGTTAAAGAATGAACCTTGAAAAAGGAGTTTTGAATTTTTTTTCTGTGCCTTTGAATAGTAACCCCCCCCCCCCAAAAAAAATAAGCCTCATTCAGAAAACAGAAACCAAGGCTCCAAACACAAAAAGAAGAAAAAAAAAGAAACCCAAACATCAATGCTACCTTTGCAACATAAAAATGGAAGCGAAGGGCTAATGTGGAGACTCTGAAACAGTGGAGTGAGCAACCACCAAACGCACCAGCGAGAGTGCCCCAAGTAGAGACAGACTAGGAGATGGGACGGGGTGATGGGCTCCCATGGAGAAATGAAGCCCCGCTCTACCTACTAACTCTAAATGCTACCATTAAAACTCCCGAGTCCCGGAGTTAGTTTAATGTCACTGACATTAACGAGCTTTAGTTACTGTCATCTTATTCAAATGGATGCCATTTGATTAGGTTAAGTATTGAGCATTATTTTAGGAGAAACACCAGTTCCTTGAGAAGGAGCAGAGTATTTTGAGACAGTCAAAAGGCCTGAAGTCATAGGAACTAGGTTATTTTAAGAATACCGTTCGAATTTGCAGCAGCAAAAAGACGCAGGGTAAACAGGAAGTGGAAAAGGCCAAGAAAGTGGTATTTGGATTATCTATAATAATAAAAGCGTAATATGCTAATTAGACCAGACAAGGATGTAGCCGGGGCTGCGAGGGAAGCCCAGGTCCCAAGGGCCTGGTGGCGGCTGGAGGGAAGCCCAGGTCCTGGGTCCCGGGTGCCAGAGGGAAGCGGTGCCAGCAGCTGGGGAAAAGAAGGCCTACTCTTGCACGAACTTTGTGCACTGGCCTCTAGTTACTAATAAAAAGGACACGGCGAGTGGCAAACTGGTAGGAAGCCTGTTACTGCATGAGAACAGACTGCCCTTCTCATCTAGCTTTGGTAGTGCACACTGTTATAGGACATGTTTTTTCCAAGCATTGGAGGGTGGGGGGTGGGGGAGAGACACACACACAGAGAGAGAGAGAGAGAGAGAGAGAGAGAGAGAGAGAGGGGGGGGGGGGGGAAAGTAGGCGGGTAGTAGAGGGGAAAAAGAGGAAGTTAAACTTGAAATGAAGTGTGGCTGATAGTGATTCTGAAGGGTGGGGACAGAGGCAGGTAGGACACCCCCATATTCTATCCACTGCTCTCAAATCACCAAATGTAAGAGATCAAACAAGACATAATATTCACAAGAGCTACCCAGAGTGGCATTACACTTTTTGAGAGTAACCGTTCTGCCTTTCAGATGCACTTTCAGACACAGGGTTCTCACTGTGATCCCCTCTTCAGACTTGAAGGTGATTATCTTGGAAGAGAGTTTGCTTACCAGGTATCTCATAAAATCTAAGCAAAAAAGCATACATCTTCACATTTAAAGCCCTCATGTTCATGACTGGCTAATGCAATCTGGTTCTAAATGCAACCCCTACTTCAGGAACCAGTCTTACAACTACAATAATAAACTCTTCAAGTTTCCCGGCAGGTGAGGGGTTGGGGAGAGAGAGTATACAGGTTAAGAAAATAGACTGAGGTCAGTAGGCCTACAAAGCCTGCTCAGGTGCAAACGCAGTCTCAGACAATAGGAAGAAATACAAACTCTGTTTAATTTTTTCATTTGCAAGATATGTGAAGTTCGTACGTAAGTTTTCTTCACGGTTGTTTTCCATACAGTTTAATCAGACAATTCTCAAGTGGAATAGCCTTATTTTTCTAGTGTTCACAGTGGGAGGGTGGTGAACAGGACAGCTGAGCAAGTGGCTTTCTACTGTCACATAAAACTGCAAAAATAAAAATCCACCTGAACAGTGTGAACAGGCTTTGGCTGTCCTCACCCACTGAGCTTCATGCATCCTAGATCCCGACTCACTCAGCCTTAGTATTATAATGGTAGTCACCATACGCCGTACCTTTTGCAATTATATTTCATACTTAAGAGAATTCAGGAGGGTGATCTGCTCCTTTTGCAATAGAAATGCAAACTGAGTCAGTCCTGGGAGCTACTGGGTCAGCTTTTGGGGAAGGAAGTCTATTCTATGGCCTTAGCACCCCATGCAGGGTTCTATAATATTGCTTTCTAATTTCTCCCACTTAGTCCATCCTCTGGCTTCCAGATCAAGGCTCTGCGTACTTAAAACAAGCAAACTGCATTAAGTAGGTGGGGCAAATGCATGTGTTAGCTCAAGGAATCAGTTCCTAAGGTTTTATAGATATTCCATTCCAAAGAAATGAAGTTCACACACAACGCTAGCAAGGCCTTTCAGTCTCTGAAGGAGAGAAGTGTGGTATAAAATATGACCATCACCAGCAGTCAGAAACCTCCCTTCCTTCCCTTTAAAAGTAACAAATGTGCTGAATACATGTACTTGCATGTGGATTGGCAAAGTTTCTGAAGCCTTTTTTTTTTTTTTTTTTTTTTTTTTTTTAACGTTAAAGGCAAGTTCTACTTCCAAACTTTCAAACATGTTATGGTTCAACTTGCGAGTAACTGGGTTTTCCTTTTCGCACATCAGTTTTTAGTGTCGATGCACAAGACCGTGAAGATGGTTGATTGGAGAACTTATGCACACTGAGAGAATGACCAAAAGGACCCAAGAGAGCTGGATACAGTAGACATTACGTTGAGTGTCTCACGTGTTTCCAGAACAAACAAGAAAAGGAAAGCCACTGAGAGTTGTTATTCCAAACGGCACTGAAATTCAACTCAGTTTAGGTAAGAGTTTCTTATCCCTGAAAATAAAGGCATCGATTCTAAGCAGCTTTAGGAATTCAATGCTTCCTGTGCCTCTTCCAGCAAGTGGCCACGGAGCCTGAGTCCCAGACCGAACGCAGGTGTTCTCCGCAGACGATTCCCTTGGTTGTCACTGATCCAGGCTGTTACTGCGGCGGCTGCTGCTCCGGTGGTGCCTCCTGCTGGGGTGGTGCTGGCCGTGGCACGGGAGGCCTGGGGACGGGCATGTCTTGGTGCTGCCTCTGCCTGTAGGCTATGACTGTTCCCAGCAGCAACGCGATGATGGTCATGAGGTAAAGGTCCCACTCAGGTCCCAGAAGCTGGTCCATATCAACTTGGGTAAATACATCTCGAATCTTAACGGGAATAGAAAAATCATCATATTCACTAACATGTCAGAGAAGAAATCAGGAACATACCATCACCAATTAGAGATAAATACAGAACTTATTAAAATAATTGGTTTTAGGGACATCTGTCAGTGTCTTTATTTTAAAAAGGGTTTAAAAAGCCTTAAACTGAAACTCAAAAAACAATGTGTCTCAGGAACAGCTATTATTTCCTAACAGTTGACTATGTGAAGCGTCTGGGAGGGTTTCCTTCCATCAGCAACCTAATGCACTCATTCCCAACAATTTCCCCCAGAAAATATCTGAGATGGGCACTGGGGGAGAGGGAGGGTCCGGGACAACTGTCAGTCTCAGGGCACCGGGAGCCCATATGCAGTCAGGGCACAGTGGCTAAGAAGCTCTGCTCTAGTGACGCGGGGCTATGTTATCACTTCTCTCAGGTAACTGAAGACAGAGTCCAAATGTTTCATAGAGGAATGCCTAGTGCTTTCTGGTCAGGATTTAAGTAAATATATAACACCTGAATTTGAACTTAAAAGTCATGGTTTTAGTCTATGATAAATACAGGATATAAATATATATTTAGAGAGCGAGTGAGGAAGGAAGAGGGATAGAGAGATAGAAACATTGATGAGAGAAACAGCAAAAATCAGCGCTCCTGCATGCCCCCTACTGGGGATCAAGCCCGCAACCCAGGCACGTGCCCTGACTGGAATCGAACCATGCCCTCCATGTTCGACTGCTGAACCACACTGGCTGTGCTAGTCTATGATATTTTAATTGTCCTATGTTACTTAAGTGATTCCTCTTATTTTCTGACTGCCATTTATTCACAAAGAAAGTAGAGATGGGTATAACCCTTGTGTTTAAATAACATCACATTTTAAAGGTCTCCCTCTCTATACATAAAAGGTTAATATGCAAAGTGTCCCCTCAGGAGTTCGACTGCTCACCATGGCGTGCGCTGACCACCAGGGGGCAGTGCGGAATGAAGGAAGGCCCCACCCGGCAGCCAAAAGGCCCCAATAGGCCCTAATCACTGGCCAGGACTAGGGACCCTACCTGTGCACCAATTTCGTGCACCGGGACTCTAGTAATATATATTTGCCAGTACAGGTACCATGTTTTTTTGAAAAGATTACAAGAAACTATTAACTGTGTTTCCTGAGGAGGGAATGGAGATGGGAGATTTTGTGTTTATCTTACTATTTCAACTTTCTTGCCATGAATACTTACTACTTTTAAAAAATGTATTTTTACTGATTTCAGAGAAGAAGGGAGAGGGAGAGAAAGAAACATCAATGATAAGAAAGAATCACTGATTGGCTGACTTCTGCATGCCCCCTACTGGGTACATACCTGCAACCCGGACATGTACCCTGACCAGAAATTGAACCATGACCTCCTGGTTAATAGGTTGACACTCAACCTCTGAGCCACACCGGCAGAGTATTAGTTTTTTGTTGTTGTTTTTTTGTTTTGTTTTGTTTTGTTTTTAAGGCAGAATATCTACATGGTAGGATTACAGGGCATTTTATTGTCTTTATATTTCTGTCTTAAAAAGAAAAAATATATATATTTTATTTTATTTATTTATTTTTTAAATATATTTTTATTGATTTTTTTACAGAGAGGAAGGGAGAGAGATAGAGAGCTAGAAACGTTGATGAGAGAGAAACATCGACCAGCTGCCTCTTGTACACCCCCTACCAGGGATGTGCCCGCAACCAATGTACATGCCCTTGACCGGAATCGAACCTGGGACTGTTCAGTCCGCAGACCGACGCTCTACCACTGAGCCAAACCGGCTTCAGCAAGAAAGAATATATTTTATTGCATGATCAAATCCTAGACTGTAATCAATAGTTTATTAGTCTTAAAATTGTTAGAGACAGGGTCTGGAACAGTCCTGGCAAAGAAATAGCACACTACCACACTGTTAGCTTTTAACTGAAGGAACAAAGATCTGTCAATTAGCAGGGGGGACAGTCCTGGCCCAGGCTGCCAAGCAATTATAAATTTGCCATTACAAATGCATAAGATACTGGTAGGACAGAGCTCAACATCTCAGTCCTCTGGAGCCCTATCCATGGGGCCCTCAGAAGCACGGGCTAGGGCTGCATGAGGGGTAAGTCAAACTTCTCTTTATGGATGCGGGAGCACCATGGACCACATTAATATCTGTGTAAAACAGGACGGAATCCATTCTGGCATCCATCGCTGAGATGAGGTATCCCCCTGTTCTGAAAGATGTTAACCAAAGATTGGCAACGCCATCCGTCCCCAGAATGAATTAAAGTTCAATAGCCCTTGTTTCTGCATATATATGAAGACTTTCAGAGTCCAATGCTGTACTAGTTAATCCATTATGAGGAACTCTGGGTACTGGAAACAAAATGCAAAACCGGAACTTAAGAGCAACACGTAAGTGTTGTTAACTAAAGTCGGCTGCTTGGAAGAGAATGGCTAACCCATTTCCTACATAGATTCTACCTTCAGCTTATTTAAATAGTTCAAGGTATTTTTAGAGAACAAATTCTGGTGGTGGTTTTAACATGTTTCACTACCACAAGAATCTGAAGTGCAACAGCCTGGGCAGGTTCTCAGGTTCTACTTCTTCTTCCTCCTTTTCTAAATTCTCTTTTTCTTAGGGAGGTCTGAGTCACTTGTAGGCAGATAGTCATCTGATTTAATGTTTACTGAATTTAGTTAACTACTGCTTCAAATTGCCATGGGTCAGTCTCAGTTTTCCCCCAAATCAGGAAACATTTGCATCAATGCAAAATGCTTTAGCACTGGGAACCACTTGTGATGCTGCCTGAAAACTATTAACAGCGCTGTGGCCACATCCATCCCTCACCAGATGAGGGCTGTGGGTACCTCGCAGGCTACTCCTCCCCTCTTCACCAACATTTAAAATACAAGTCTCTGGACTGAGGTCACAACATCTGTATTTAACTGAAAGGCGTGGACCACTTACGTTTGCTTCCCGTATGTACTGCAAGAAATAGACAACGCCCAATTTGCAGAGCGCTAGGAAGACTGGTACCTGTGCATCTGGGCTGGCTTCGGCTGCCATGTCATAAAAACGCTTTGCAAGGTGAATATCCTATAAGGTAAACCCAAATTCATTCTTGTTAAATTAAAAATAATTGTCTTTTAGTTTATACATTAGGAAAATTTATCTTATCTTTCCAGTTTCATTTTAAAATTTCCCTTACCTAAAGAAGAACCCACATTGTAATTGGATAATAGTTCTTTAATTACCTAACAGGTTAATTTAAAAAAATTTAATTGAAAAATTTTAAGACTTCATTCATGCTCCCCTCCAATCTGACATCCACTTGCAGTGTAGACTTTCAGAGGTAAATGCTGCACTGTCTTACAGCTGCACATTACACTGTTAATCTGGACACTTCCAGGGCTGACCTGTGAGCTGCTAGTTAATTCTGTCCTACTTAAACTTCAGCCAGCTCCAGGTAACAGTTTGGAGCAGTGAACTTCAAAATGGAGTAGACAGTCAAGATTTCCCAAAGGACACTGGCAGGGACGCTGTTAAGGCACATCCTGTGTCTCCCTGTCTTAGACAGATTTCTGTGAAGGACAAAGCAAGTCACAGGTAATTTTGGCACAGGTTGGAGTATTCAGATATATGTAGAATGGGATGGAGGGAAGTTGTGAAATTTTCATTTACCAACCTTACTTTCATACCTTGACTACTGTCAAAGGATATCAACCGCCTAGGAAAAAATTCCATGAGACATGGGAAAGAAAGGCTATGCATTAAAGATTACTTTCTCCCACATATCTAAATATAAACAATTGCTCTCGACTATTCCCCATATGTACCTTGTGTGTGTCACTAGTTGAGAAGAAGGGCACCTTGAAACAACTGTAATAGCGTGGTTAGTGTTTTTGATTTTTAAAAAAATATGTAACATTTTTTTGAACTGCCTTATTTTTCAAATTCATGGATCAAACTATTATATGTGACAACACAGACTATATGTGTTTGAGTAAATAGAGTTAATTAAATTGAAGTTATCAAATATATCAAATATATGAATTATTTATTTCAATTATAACCAATCCTTATCTTATTAATATTTAATATTTTTCTAGTTAACTAGATACTAATTAAATTTTAGTAGTAGGAATGTCTCTTTCATTTAAAAAATAAGAACAAAATGGGAAAAGGTCATTATGATGTCTTATAAAAATGAACGGATTTACTGTTATTTTTACATGTAATTATTCTTAAAAGTTGAATCCTAGAGTTTCTTCTCATCACTCTGATGCCTTTTATCACATTCCTTTTTTCTGTAAGAATTTAGATAAGTTATACATCCTATTACATTACATATTAAATGAGATGAGAAAAGCACACTGATTAGGTTCTTGTTTCCTAACCTATTATAAAAGTAATATCTGAGTTATATGACTTTAGTCTTAATTCCTAGGTGTATTTTATAAAGGTCACAACTTACATGTGATTTTTATATTAATCATCAAATATACAATTAGTATGCATTTCAATGGGAATACAGGACTAAAAATATGAATTCATGGAGAAAAGAAAAAGATGCAATATGCAATTAAAGAATTTACTACATATTTTTTTCAAATTAATAATGGGCATGTCAAATTATTTAGAGTAATTTAAATATTATATTAAAAATGATCTTTTTTAAAATAGCTAGAACTCAGACCCTTTGAAACTTATGTTGAAAATTTTTATTTATTTAATTTCAGAGAGGAAGGGAAAGGGAGACAGAAACATCAATGATGAGAAAGAATCATCAAATAGATGCCTCCTACACACCCCCACTGGAAATTGAGCCAGCAACCTGGTATGTGCCCTGACTGGGAACTGAAGCCTGACTTCCTGATTCACAGGTCTGCGCTCAACCACTGAACCATGCTGGCTGGACTATGATGTAAAAAAAAATTGTTGTTTAAATATATTTTATTGATTTTTTACCGAGAGAAAGGGAGAAGGATAGAGCTAGAAACATCAATGAGAGAGAAACACTGACCAGCTGCCTCCTGCACACCCCTAACCAGGAATGTGCCTGCAACCAAGGTACATGCCCTTGACTGGAATCGAACTCGAGACCTTTCAGTCTGCAGGCCGATATTCTATCCACTGAGCCAAACTAGTTTTGGCCTATGATGTAAAATTTATGTCAACTTAAAAATGCACAAGATGATATTAATTTTTCAAAAATTTATGTCAACTTAAAAATGCACAAGATGATATTAATTTTTCAAAAATTTTAAGGGTAGCCGAAACTGGTTTGGCTCAATGGATAGAGCGTCAGCTTGGGGACTGAATGGTCCCGGGTTTGATTCCGGTCAAGGGCATGTACCTTGGTTGCGGGCATATCCCCAGTAGGGGGTATGCAAGAGGCAGCTGATCGATGACTCTCTCTCATCGATGTTTCTAACTCTCTATCTCTCTCCCTTCCTCTCTGTACAAAATCAATAAAATATATTTTAAAAAAAATTTTAAGGGTACATGGGCAAAACTTAAGACCATGGGTCTAAAGACTGTTAGACTTCACTAGAAAGGCTTAAGAATCAGAAATAAGGGGAAGGGAGTGGAGGACTCACTGTGGTACAATGGAAACTAATCCTAATATATAAAAACCCAGGGTCTGTAATGACCAAAGGCTTGACCGACCAGAAGTCAGTCCTGCAGTCCTACTGTGAGCACAGCGACCCAGCACTGACTGCCCAGGGGCTGTGGATCAGGCCAGAGAGAAACCTGGAGAAGCAGGGTCTGATCCATAGCCTCCATGGCAGCTGTTCATCAGCTTTTGCCTCTCTCTTTCTCTCCAGGGCTTTGTGGGGGCTGCTGATCAGCCCCACTTCTCTGATCAGGCCCAGAGATAGGCCAGGAGACACTGAATGGCATAGAAACCGACCAATCAGAACCAAATCTGGGAGAACTGTGAGGAGCCAATGGCTGCCTAGGAGGCAGAGCTTTTGAGGCTGACTGGCATTAAAACCGACCAATCAGAACCAAATCTGGGTGAAGTGTGAGAAGCCAAAGGCTGCCTAGGAGGCAGAACTTTTGATGCTGACTGGCATAGGAACTGATCAATCAGAACCAAATCTGGGTGAAGTGCGAGGAAACAGTGGCTGTTGAGGAGGTAGAGCTTTTGACTGACAGGCATAGAAACTAATCTGGATGAATTTTGAAGGCAGAACCTAAAGTGGGGGGTGAGGAGGGGTTTTAAGGGCAACCGCTGTTTGGTGTAAGGTGTAAGAAATCAGTTCAATTTTTTTAATGACCGGTTTAGCAGTATAGTGCATATGGCTGGCTATCAGTCTACATATAAGGATTATGTATTTTTGTCTGCCAAGAGATCTCCTACTGCTGAAAAAGGCTTTCCCCCCTCATTTAAGCAATCCTATCCTATATAATCTATCTATACTACTAAAAGGATAATATGCTAATTAGGGTGGGCTGACCAGCCATCTTCCAACATTTGACTTCCTTCCTGACAAAGCCATGGTGGTGGGGGCTGAGGCAGAGAGGGCAGTTGGAGGTGAGATCATGCCAGCAGGGGAGGACAGTTGGGGGTGAGATCAGGCCTACAGGGGAGGGCAGTTACGGATGATCAGGCAGGCATGCAGGCAGAGGCAATTAGGGGTAATCAGGCAGGCAGGCAGAGAGGTTAGGGGCGATCAGGCAGGCAGGCAGGTGAGCGATTAGGAGCCAGTGGTCCCAGATTGGGAGAGGGATGTCTGACTGCCAGATCGTGCCTAAACCGGCAGTCGGACATCCCCTATGGGGTCCCTGATTGGAGAGGGTGCAGGCTGAGCTGAGGGAAACCACCCCCATGCATGAATTTCGTGAACTGGGCCACTAGTCCTATATAATAAAAGCTTAATATACTAAGTGTCCAGTCATCTGATCATCCATTCAACCAATCAAAGCATAATATACTAATGATGTGCTAAGGCTGCTCAATCGCTCACTATGACATGCACTGATCACCAGGGGGCAGACACCCTGCTGCTGGGGTCTGGCCGATGGCGACTGAGCAAGATGGGCCAGACACACCTTGGAGCCCTCTCTCAGTCCCTCTCCGGCCCTGATCATGTTCTAGTGGGGCCCTCAGCTTGGCCTGCAGCCTCTAGTAATACAGAACCCCCTCAGGGGATGTCAGAGAGCCCAATCCCTCAGGCCAGGCCGAGGGACCCCATTGGTGCACGTTTGTGCACCAGGCCTGTAGTATAAAATAATATTGAATGTAACAGTAATTAATAAAGCATTTTTTTAAATTGAAAAAAGAATCAGGAATAAATTTATCAATTGCAATCATCTTAATTCATTTCAAAATAATTTATAAGCAATAGAATTAGTCTGATTATGGTTGGATAGTTTCTCAAATGAGGAGTTATCTGAAGAAGCTGCACTGCCTTTCTGTTTTCATGAATCTGTTTTTGGCTTAATATTCTAAATATAAAAGTGTAGATATCAGCGGCCAGGCCCGGAGCAGCAGCTGCCAAGTCCAGAGCAACTAGGTCGGGAGCGGCAGTGACCAGATCCGGAGCAGCTGGTTGTGGAACGAACCAGAGCAACAGAGGCCAGGCCCGGAGCAGCCAGGCCCGGAACAGCTCGCTCCTCGCCTGCACCTGCCCCACGGCTGCTTCTCAGACATGGCTGGAAACTTTTGTGGGAACTTGAGGGTCTGCTGGGTCAAGTGATGAAGGCTTAGATCTGGATGTGTTGAGTTAGTGTAGTGCTGGGGCGTTGATCTGTGAGTGCCTTGGGTGGGGCCTGGATGAGGCTGGTTGACCTATTTGGAAATGTCTTTTGTGTGAAGTGTATCATTGGGCATGTGGAGGTATTATTGATATGAGAAAGTGCTAAGTAACTGGTTTACTCTCTGAAAAGGAATTTTCAGGGAAAGGGAGGGAGGAAGAGACTGAACATAAACTGTGGATGAGGACAATGGGGGATGGGGAGGGGGCGGAGGGTGGGATGGGAACCTGGTGGAGGGGGGAAGAAATGAGGAACCTTTGTAATAACATGAACAATAAAGATTGATTAAAAAAAAAAAAAGAGTGTAGATATCAATATGTGTGCATGCTGGATGATGAGAGAGATGGGGGGATGGGGGGGGGGCAATTTTGTGAAATACCGTATTTTTCGGACCATAAGACGCACCGGACCATAAGACGCACCAGTTTTTAGAGAAGGGAAATGAAGAAAAAAAGATTCTGAAACAAATAGTGTCCTAAAATATTTTATGTGCATTAAAACCCAACATCACAGTCATAAACACATGTAATCAACCCTGTAAAAGTAAACAGCAGCATTTAGAACCATTTTAGAGCCGGGCAAGCACACAGAGACCACACAGAGCCGGGCAAGTAAAAAAACGTTTTTTTAAAAAGTATATGTGTAGGCTATATTTGGACCATAAGACGCAGGGACTTTTCCCTCCCACTTCTGGGGGGAAAAAAGTGCGTCTTATGGTCCGAAAAATATGGTATTTCAAAATTGCCTCACAATTTAGTAGTATCTAAAATCTGAGCACATTCCAAAGAAAGCCTACTTTCTATAAAAACTCAGACCTTTCCCCCAAATCAGTTTGTATTATTCAGACATTAATTTGATGCGCTGCTTACCTGTTTAATGCCTAGTCCTTTCTCATGCATATATCCCAGATTAAACATAGCCTGTGCGCTGTGTTGTTGCTCAGATGCTAGACGATAATGAATAAACGCAGTCTCATAATCCACATCGGTGCCAAATCCATAGAAATGGTAGTCTCCAAGCTTAATTCTAGCCACAGTATAGCCTTAAACAAAAGTTAAATGCAAAATTGCCAATAAATAAAGTGTTTAAAACAGACCACACTGTTATTTCTCTTCCTGTTAACATGATTATATAAAACAGAATTTTAATTTGTAGTACACAAATTTTACAATCAACCCTTTAGCTAAGCTATAAATTCAGTAAAAATTAAAATTACAACTACTCTTCTGAAGAGAGCTTTGTAAGTCAAGGAGAGGTAGAATAAGGTAGGTGGCAACACTCCCCCCCGCCCATGTCTCCAATAATATTCTTTTTTTAAAAATACTTATTTTTATTGATTTCAGAAAGGAAGGGAAAGGGAGAGATAGAAACATCAATGATGAGAATCATTGATGGGCTTGCCTCCTGCACATCCCCTAGTGGGGACTGAGCCCACAACCTGGGCATGTGCCCTTGAACAGAATCAAACTTGGGACCCTTCAGTCCACAGGCTGATGTTCTTTATCCACTGGCCAAACCAGCTAGGGCTATTATTTTGTGTGTGTGTGTGTGTGTGTTTTTTTTAAAGTATTTTTTAAAAGAATATATTTTTATTCAGAGAGGAAGGGAGAAGGAGAGAGAGAGAGAGAGAAACATAAATGATGAGAAAGAATCATTAATCGGCTGCCTCCTGCACGCTTCCCACTGGGGATAGAGCCTACAACCCAGGCATGTGCCCTTGACCTGAATCGAACCCAGGACCATTCAGCCCACAGGCCAACGCTCTATCCACTGAGCCAAACCAGCTAGGCTCCAATAATATTCTTTAAAAGATCATGCTCTAGCCGAGACCGGTTTGGCTCAATGAATAGAGCGTCAGCTTGGGGACTGAAGGGTCCCGGGTTCGATTCCGGTCAAGGGCATGTACCTTGGTTGTGGGCATATCCCCAGTAGGGGGTGTGCAGGAGGCAGCTGATCGATGATTCTCTCATTGTTGTTTCTAACTCTCTATCTCTCTCCCTTCCTCTCTGTACAAAATCAATAAAATACATTTTTTTAAAAATAAAATAAAAAAATAAAAGATCATGCTCTATTCTATGATGTCATTTACATTTTAAAATTGTATAACTGGACCCTTGTTTATGCTTGAAGAAGGGATGATAGGCACACAATGTGGAGAGTAGTTTGTGAAAGACACAGTCAAATGAAAAATTGGAGAAAGGTTTAAACCTTTTCGGGTTTGTACTAATATTCTATTGTATATTCTATTCAATTTTCATTTACACAATATATGGGGTTCAAACTAAAAACCAGAGAGAAAACCATAGCATGACTTAAATGTCTGTAAAAACAACTTACAATTCCGTTTAGAAGCCCTGGGACTAGAATTTCAATTTTAAAAATAAATACCAATCACGAAGCTAACAAGTTAACCAATAGAATCTCTACTTAATTTTAAGGTGATAAATGACAGGTCTTAATTTTTATGGGAGATTTAAAAAAATACTCCCTAAAAAAACAAAATAAAGAGAGGTTTCTGGGTGCAACTTCTATCCTTTAGGATGAACCAACCGCTCACCTTGCGAGGCAGCCCTGTTCCAGTGCAGCAACGCTCTGGGGTAGGTTTCATTCTCACCTACAATGGTGGCTTCTCCTGCAGGGAAAGAGGTAACACAAACCAGGCAGTTAGGGAAAGGCTCTAGACTTTTAGGCTTCATTTTCAAGCTAGAATGAGTATGTGGAGCATAACTGAAATAAGAATTGGAATGTAACAAATAATAAATGGGAAATATATTGTATTAAAATTAAACAAGTACTAGAATAAAATACTGAGTTCCAAGGAATCACTGCATTTAGGACAACGTTACGTCCTGAAACAGGTTTTATCCACAGAACCAATGAGAATGAGTACTCCAGCCCACTCTGGGGATCTACATAAGCTGGAAAAACAATATTTTGTACCTGCTATATTGTAAAAATGTATTTGCTGAAAGCAGCAGCCAATTTTACAATGAATGTCAAATCTTATTTCTACTGTCAACTCTATAAAACTAAGTTGGATGGCTGAGAGATCTGAAGTAAAATAACTTAAACAAGAGGGACAAGTTCTATTTACAGCAACAAAGAACGTTCTTTCTGGCTTTTCCTTTTAGACAGGTAACCTGATGTGAGTCCTTGCATTGGGAACCCGGGGCAGCACTCCGATGAACCTTACTCTGGTCGAGGATGAAGGCGGCGTTGCTCTGTGCCACTTCGTAGCCCTGTTCGGCCAGCAGGAGGTACTGGATCACGGCCGCATTGTAGTCGCCGTCTTTATAGCTGTTATAGGCAGTCATAAGCCTCTCGGACCAGCGGCCCCGTTCACACACATTCTTAAACAACTGTGAGAACAGGAAAGAACAAAAGAACAAAAGAACAAAAGAATAAGAAAGATACGCTAGAAAATCATTTTTCACATTAGCCACGTGAGTGTTAAGCTCGCTCTTTCAATGTCTGGTAATTTTACTGAATATACTTAAAAGTCTGGGATATATATTTGAAGCTTTCACTTAATCTTTAGAATAGGTTATACAAATAATAGCATACAATTATATACCACTGACACTGGTCAGACAGACACTGTTCTACCCTGTTTCCCCGAAAATAAGACAGGGTCTTATATTAATTTTTTCTCCCAAAGTTGCAATAGGTCTTATTTTCAGGGGATGTCTTATCTTTCCATGCGCTAGGTCTTATTTTCGGAGGACGTCTAATTTTCGGGGAAACACGATAGTGATTTATATATAACATGTATATTAACTCCCTTACCCCTCCCCTGGAGTCCACTCTATAAGGTGAGTCCTATTAAAAGCTACATTTTACAAACAAGGAAACTGGATCAGAGGAAGCTTTAGAAACTTTGTAAGCATATATCAATGTCACCTGGAAGTGCCAATTAGGAGATATTAACACCCCCTTTTGTAACATTTATTTAGCATCCTAGCATACGCTTTTTTGACACTATGTCTCAGATACTGTCTTAGGTGTTAGAGACAGCAGACATAGTATCTCCCCTTATTAACACTGATTCTAATAGGAAGGGTAAATGAAATAAGTGTTATGGCCCCACACAGACCCAGTCTTCCCTTAATAAACCAGCAGGCTGAATCTGTTTCAACTCTAGAAGAAATCACACAAGAAAACAACAATTAAAACAGCAGACTTTCTGTCCGGCTGGTGTGGCTCAGTGGTTGAGTGTCAACCTATGAACCAGGAGGACACTGTTCGATTCCTGGTCAGGGCACATGCCCGGGTTGTGGGCTCAATCCCCTGTGTGGGGCTGCAGGAGGCAGCCGATCAATAATGCCTCTCATCGTTGATATTTCTTTCTCTCTCCCCCCTACTTCCTTCCTCTCTGAGATCAATAAAAATATATTAAACAAAAAAACAACAACAGTAGACTTTCCGACTGAGAAAATTAGTTTCCTGTACAGAAGTTGGTAGAAGAGCCCTCACCTCCACCGCATTGTGGCAGGATCGCATCACACCTGTGCCGCTGGCGTGCATCTGTGCGAGGTTATAGAAAGCCAAGATGTGGCCTCCCTGAGAAGCTAAGTTAAAATACTTCAAGGCCTGTTTATAATCCCTCTTGACTCCAATGCCATCTGTAAGGAAAATCACATGAAAGGTCAGGAACAGTCTCAAGTAAGATTCAGCTGGAACATCAGAGAAGTAAAGGAGTAAAATAAAATAAAATTCAGAATGGTTACTCAGGGAAAAATGTAAATCCTATTAATACAGATCTGTACATTAATATATATTAACAGAATTTCCAATAAAAAAAGCAAGATGCACAAATCACTGAATTGGGAGAACATGAATCAGCCAGTATTCAGCACTCTCATTTCTATAACATGGTGACATCTAGTGGAAAAAGGTACTTTACATCTTGGTGTGTTCATCACTGATCCCACCATTACTTACTATAGTACATGGAGCCAAGCTGCAGCTGCCCATCCACCCAGCCTTGCTCAGCAGCTTTCTGGAAATACTTCAGTGCCAGATCATAATTCTGTAAAAAAAGATCACCTCATCACACAATCACATGATGAGAAAGCTCAAAAGGCTAACATACTCAAAAGTCAGATTAATTTATTAAAAATAATTAATAAAGTACACAAAATAGTCTCAAAGCGCCATTAAAAGAAATACCTTCCAATTTTATTTTATTTTATTTATTTTTTACAGAGAGGAAGAGAAAGGGATAGAGAGTTAGAAACATTGATGAGAGAGAACCATCAACTAGCTGCCTCCTGCACACCCCCTACGGGGGATTGTGCCTGCAACCAAGGTACATGCCCTTGACTGGAATCGAATCTGGGACCTTTCAGTCTGCAGGCGGACGCTCTATCCACTGAGCCAAACCGGTTTCGGCACCTTCCAATGTTTAATAACAGATAATAATAGACTTGAAGTCTCGGGAATTATATTTAAGATGTTGAAGAAAAGTAAATCAAGTTTTTGTGAGACAATTTGCATGTTGGCTCTTGGAAAGCATAAACACCAGCAGTGAAACACAAGGACAAGGATTTAAGAAACAGTTGTATCTTCTCTGTTAACCAACCAATCCTTTTTAAAACCTCAATTCTTCCAATATTAAATAAGGGTAATTATCCACTCATTATTCGTTCTTTCCCTGTGTTCATAGTGAACACTATGCGATCATTAAACTTCAAATAACATGTATCCACAGAGATAAATTGAAACAAAGATCACTATGGAACTTCAGTTTCCTAAAATGACTAAAGGAATAAAAATGAGACCACATTACTGTTTCTTATGCTAGGGAATGCCTACAGATTAGAATCCCAAACCTAGTTCTAGTTTCAGGCCCAAATAAAAAGAACATATTCCTTAGAGATATCCTACAGAAAAAGGGGATAGCAAGGAGACTTCAGGGCATCCCACCACAGGAAGTAGCACAGAAGAATGAGAACAATGGCTCAGGAAAACCAAGAAGTCCTTGCAGGCACAGAACTCCAGGGAAGAAAGAGCTCATGATATACAACCAAAAAATGTCAGCTGGAGTTGACATTCAGAAGGTTTCTGGTGACTCGTATTGAGCAGTTTCATGAGTCAGAACCCGACTTTTCTGAGCTAATAAGTGAGTGGTAGCAGCTCATATAGTTCATTTTTTGGAAAACCTTGGCAGTGCAGCGAAGGGCTGCAGAGAAAAGAGGTAGTGGCTCGAGGGCAAAGGGTAGAACAGAATGGGAGTCCGAGCCCTCTAAATGGGAGAGACCTGAGCATTTTCTTAGGTTTGAGTGAAGAAATACAAGTGTAGGTGAGATGGAAGAGAAGACAGAGCAGAGAGCATTGGTGGGAGGATGAGAAACAGCTTCACATCTTCAGAAGGTGCCAGAGCCAGAGCCATTCTAACAAGGCAGTTGGTACAGCGAGTACAGGATGAAGGATGGTAAGGACAACAGGAAACAGTTTAGGTGTGGTTATAATGAAATGGCCTGCCCGGGCTGGCTGGGAGCTAGTTAAGGAATACTTCCCTACCTCTCCAACTAACTCCTTGTTAGAATGTTAGATGGGAAACTTACAACTTGAACTCCTCTCCCGTAGAGGTAAGCCATTCCAAGCCCACTCTGTCCAACTGGGTTGCCCTGCAAACCAGAGACAAAAGAGTGAAAGAATTAATTACAAAGTTGGCAAGACTAAATGCCTGAAAAAGAAACTATTTACAAGCATGTTCCAAACCCGTATTAGCACTTTTCAATTCAAAACAAAATTTTCTCCTTCCCATCAAGCTAAACATAATATTGCCTTTTAGGTATTTGGGGTTTTTTAAAAATTTTCTGAAAAAGAGTAAATAGTAAATTCATTTAGGATTAAATTTTCATGAGTTACCTTATGCCCATCTGTTCCATGAATTTATGATATAAAACATAACATATTTCATCTTTTTAAAAAATATATATATTTTATTGATTTTCAACAGAGAGGAAAGGAGAAGAATAGAGAGCTAGAAACGTCGATGAGAGAGAAACATCGACCAGCTGCCTCCTGCACACTCCCTACCGGAGATGTGCCCGCAACCAATGTACATGCCCTTGACCAGAATCAAACCTGGGACCCTTCAGTCCGCAGACCAACGCTCTATCCACTGAGCCAAACCGGTTTTGGCCATATTTCATCTTTTAAAGACTAAAAACAGGTCACTTTTTTGGGTAGTTTTAATTAGTAACCTTCTTCCTCAAACAAGAAGGAAGACTCCATGGGGTATAGTCAACAACCATGTAATAACAGCAATATGGGAGATTAGGCGGCAAATAAATGCTTAAGATTACTAGAGTGTCGAAAACCAATGGTAATAATTATTTTGAAACTTTAAAAAGAAAAACCTAGAATTTACCTAAACTTAGAGAGATAAAAGCATCTTCAAAAAGTGGCACAGCACTCCTTTGGAAAATGCTCAACTGACACTTAGATCTACAGTAACAGATAGTTGGCAAAGAGATATGTGTATGGTACACACCGGAGGCATATAGGGTCTTAAGTATTCATAGGTTGGTTTCTTTGCACCAGAGAATGCCTGAATTATATACTGTTATTATCAAAATTATCCAATTGTATAAGTTTTAAACTTCAAGTTGCAACACAGATAAGGAAAATTATGTAGCTTTCAATTCCATTATTAAAATCACATTTCCCTGATCAGGACATTTCTCAGTAAAATTTTGAGAGAGGCTTAATATACCATAATCTGGCCCCTAAAAAACTTAGAATTTTTTCCCCCATTCAATTCGCTCACATGAACCATATTTACATAAATGCTTTCACTAATTTATGGCATGACGATCATGATTCATCTTTTAATATAATAAACTTATTTATTAAAATAATAGTAACATGATACACATTTGAGTATACTGAGTCACAAGGTCTTACCATGTCAGCAGCTTTCTTAAAGTAGTGAAGGGCTGTCTCATTACTCTGAGGCACAATATCACTTCCCTCTGAATACATCTGGAAAACAGATTCCAATTTTATTATGAGGTGTAATCCTCTCTCCAGTTACATTGTTCTCCTATCTCATCTCATTCTGGTTTTTGTTAGATCTCATGAAATCTTTTAACAAAATTAGAATTCCCCAAAGGATATTTTAGAGTTAAAAGCAAAACTTGAAAAGTAAACATTTTTATATATATTATTATATACTCTGTCATAACAAATTTATGATTTACCTAATGACCATCTTTCCATGAACTTAATATCCTATATAATAAAAGCCTACAATGTAAATTGACCAAATGGGCAGAATGACCCGTGGAACAACCAGTTGCTATGACACACAATAACCATCAGGGGGCAGATGCTCAATGCAGGAGCTGACCCCACCCCGCAGGCCCTAGGCCAGCCAAGGTGGGTGCCACAGGGGCCCCTGATCATTCTGCTGGTTGTGCCACAGAACAGCCCTGACCTAGGGACCCTACCCATGCACAAATTTTGTGTACCTTACCTTTAGTAAATATATAAATACATAAATATATAAATCAACTTATAGGTTAATCTCAGGAGAAGAAATCTTTAACCCCCAGAGGAATCTATTTTCTCAATCTATTCTGGGCAGTTGACTGGGCTGACACATTGCTTGGGATCAGTGATTAAACGAGGAAAGGAAGGCTATCAGCAATGTCCTTTCCTTTCTCCTCTACCACTACTTCGCCCAGGCTAAGAGCAAAGGTAGTCAAAGTTCAGAAAAAGGAACAACTGGTTATTTTAAAAGGTCTCAAGCATCCAATGATTAAAGTCTCAGGGATCATGATAAGGGACAAAGAGAAAGAACAGAATGACCTATACTGTTTTTATCCACATACACATTAACGACAAAGACATCATTTTTGAGATAGGATTAGTTAGTAATTAGATCAAAGATTGAAAGGGCTCAAGTTAAAAATTATTTTAAAAAATATATATTTTATTGATTTTTTTACAGAGAGGAAGAGAGAGGGATAGAGAGTTAGAAACATCGATGAGAGAGAAACATTGATCAGCTGCCTCTTGCACACTTCCTACTGGGGATCTGCCCACAATCAAGGTACATGCCCTTGGCCGGAATCGAACCTGGGACCTCTCAGTCTGCAGGCAGATGCTCTATCCAGTGAGCCAAACCGGTTTCGACATTTTAAAAATATATATATATTTTATTGATTTTTTATAGAGAGGAAGGGAAAGGGATAGAGAGCTAGAAACATCGATGAGAGAGAAACATCGACCAGCTGCCAATATACATGTCCTTGACTGGAATTGAACCTGGGACCTTTCAGTCCAGACTGACGCTCTACCACTGAGCCAAACCGGTTTTGGCTCAAGTGAAAAGTTCTTAAATGCTTAACAAGAATCATGAGGAACACCACTATTGTCTAAAATCTAAATGTAAAGTTCTTAGGCCCCAATTAACTAACTGTGATCCTGTGGCAAATACTGATTAGATTTTTTTTTATTTGGAAAAACCTTTGCGATATATTCTATCTGAGCCTTCTAACATTAGGATTTGGTTATAGATGAAAATACTGTTTAGTTTACACTAGAATAGCTTTCGAAATAATGAAAAAGGAAGTTAAGAGATTGTGTCATGGCATATGAAATCTACTCATTAAATCTCTAGACTTAAATATCCTCTTGAGAAAAGGACTGCACTGACAGGTGGGTAATGGCTGTCTCATTTAAGTCAATGAAAAGGTCTGCAGACAAATTCCAACCAAATCTAAGTGCCTCTATTTAGCATAGAAGTTAATAGGTAATTATGACAGACTAGTAAAATCCTGCACAGCATCGATTCCTCATCATTATGTATTAGAGGCCCTATCACAAAATTCGTGCAAGAGTAGACCCGACTGCCCCATCCCTCACAGCCCCAGCGTCTGCCTCGGCCCTCGCAGCCCCAGCTTCATCTGGAAGGTCCTCCAGAAGGACGTCCGGACGGTCGTTCCGCTGTTCCGGCCTTTTGGTCAATTTGCATCTAATGATTTTATTATTTTAGATGATTATTATAGATGATATATGAAAAGTAGGAGCTCAGATAGTAGTGGTTAATTTCAGTGGAAAATTAACATATTGAAGAGCAAATGCTGTTCTATTTAACTCACCTAGGAAACAGCTTCAGATTGGCAATACCTTAGGACAAGACACAGTAACTTTGCCCTCGAAATTTTATTTCCAGTTTGTTATGAGTAAATTGTAGATCTTGAATACAGTATGTACTCACTCTGCAAACACCTCTTGCTATTACACAATACATTCATGGGATGTACAGTACCTTTCCCAAGAAGGCCATCGCATGTGAATTGCCAGCATTCGCTGCTAAATTGAAGTAGTCAAACGCTCTCTGTGAGAAAAGAATTTATTAAAATAGTTTTTAATAGAATCTGCCCTTGGCTTTTAACCAAAATAGTTATTTCAGGAACAGTTAAAAAATCTTGTTGCATGGCAGAATCTCAGTTTAAATAAATGGCAACATGACATCTATTGGTTGCTCCAAGGTACCCACCCACTTCATATCCAATTTACCACTAAGTCCTTTTACCATCAAATCCATCCTGAATCCATCCATCTTCTACCCTCCATTACCATAATTCTAGTCAAAGCTGTATTATCTCTCACCTGACTTCTAAAATACTCTGACCTCCCTGGGTTATCCAAAGTGACTGTTTTTAAAATCTCTTCATGCTGGTCCTTAGAGCCCCATACAGTTCTGTAGAAAATACACTGTCATGATTAGGCCCTGCTTATTTCAGTACTGCTCCCTCTTGCTCTCTGCACTCTGGGCATACCAGCCTTGTCCTTCCTGCCTTGGGTCTTATGCACATACTGTTCTTTCTGGCCTAGAAGAATTTTACCTCCAGGCTCAACTTAAATGTTACCCATCTCTCTTCAGAGAGAACTGCCAGCTCCCATTCAGTAATCTGTTTTTGGACGCTTTCATTTTCCTTAGTAACAACAATCACAATTTATTACATATTTTTGCTATGGTCATTTAAAAAGTAGCAAATGCAAAATAAGTAAATAAATAAATAGTATGAAATTCTTCTATTAAAGTTGAAACTCTGTAAGGACTTAAGGATTGAAGTTATTCTGTCCAGCGTTGTATCTGAAATGCCTAGTAGTGAATGGCATATAGTAGGTATGCAATATTTGTTGAATTAACATGTACTGGGAAAACCTTTTCTTCCCTCTTCACAGTCTGTAAAATAATTTATTTGTGCAGCTGCTTCACAGGTAAGTGGCATACACCCCCCTAAAATACTTCAAAATTTGTTGTGCAGCCGAAACCAGTTTGGCTCAGTGGTAGAGCGTCGTTCTGCGGACTAAAAGGTCCCATGTTAGATTCTGGTCAGGGGCATGTATGTCGGTTGTGGGCACGTCCCCGGTAGGGGGTGTGCAAGAGGCAACTGGTCGATGTTTCTCTCTCATCGACATGTCTAGCTCTCTCTCTCTCTCCCTTCCTCTCTGTAAAAAAATCAATAAAATATATTTTTTTAAAAATTTGTTGTGCAAAAGGTATACAGCAAACTTATCCAGAATTCTGTCCTCTCACCTGATGTTTTCATTAAGATTTTATTTGATGCTGCACTGGCCTAATGACATACATTTTCTTTATATATATATATTTTTTTTTTTTAACTGATTTTTTTTTTTTTTTTTTTTTTTTTTTTACAGAGAGGAAGAGAGAGGGATAGAGAGTTAGAAACATTGATGAGGGAAAATAATCAATCAGCTGCCTCTTGCACACCCCCTACTGGGGATGTGCCCCCACAACCAAGGTATATGCCCTTGTCCAGAATCGAACCTGGGACCTTTCAGTCTGCAGGCCAACGCTGTATCCACTGAGCCAAACCAGTTTTGGCCTAAAGACAGTAAGAGACTTGTGGAGGCGGGGGAAAAAAGATGGCGATTAGCAGGACGAGAGAGAGAGAGAGAGAGAGAGAGAGAGAGAGAGAGAGAGAGAGAGAGAGAGAGAGAGAGAGAGAGTGAGTGAGGGCATGAAAGGAGTGTGTGTGGAAGTGTGTGGGGTGTGTGTGAGTGAGTGAGAGAAAGTTAAATCTTGCAGGAGCAGCAGGAGCTGGACGACAGCCTCCCCTTGACAAGGAGAGACTACCACCGCTGAGGGCACTCCCTAGACGGCGGGACTCCAGCACGGAGCCCACGCCATCTTGAACGGCCTTTTTTAGAAACTCATCAACACCACCACCAAGACAGGCCTTGGAACTGCCCCACGACCCAGCACACACTCTAGCCAGTATCCTGGGCTAGCACAGCTGCAGACCTGTGGACACTGGGATCTCCACTCCAAAGACACACCATTCTGCAGCTATACCCATGAAAAACATACGTGGTGTCAAAACAAGCCAGAGGAAAATCATTTGGGGAAAAAAAGAAAAGAAAAAAAGAAAAGGGACCCCAAGTCAAATTTATAGAAAATATCTCTTTATTAACCTTTGGTCGAGAATATGTTTGTATATTTTCGAAAACAACCCCGAGACCACGTGGAATCCTGCAACAGAGAGGAACTGACAGGAGTGCCCCAGCCATGAAGACAGAAGACAATCAGTCCAAAGTTGGAAGACACTGACAACGCCTTGCCATACCAGCAGACAGGAGCTATGTGTTGCTAAAGGATGCCCAGGACCAAACCAGAGACGGTTGGACCTGAATCAACACCATTTGTCAACCAACCAGATCTGAAATACCATGGGCTGACATGTACACATAAGGAACTATTTGACATTGAAATTGGAACAAAAAGAACTGTTGGCCCAGAAAAAAACTCACTACAGACTGATTCATTTGCCTCTCAGCATAACCATTATGGCTTGTCTCAGTTTCAGTCATATAAGGGAATTCCTTGTACCACATGATCTAACACATCAAGGGGAAATAATGAACAACATAAATTGATGAACAGAAACAGACCCAGAGACAGAGAAACAGGTATCAGACTGTCAAAACTCAGAGGGAAGGTAGAGGAGGGTGGGGGCAAAGAGGAGAGATCAACCAAAGGACTTGTGTGCATGCATATAAGCCTAACCAGTGGTCATGGACAACAGGGGGTGGGCATACATGGGGAGGGGTTTGGGGGGTTGAGGGCAATTATGTGACACCATAATTAAAAAAAAAAAAAAAAAAAAGATAATAAGAGTTGTAAAAATGCCATCCAAATTTTTAAAAGCAGATATTTGGCATAGTTGTGTTGATACATCTAATTCTTAAAGTTGACAGGTCATGGTACATGAAGTAACCTTCATTAAAATATTTAACTGGCATGGGAGGAAAACAAAGCTTTTTGAATCTGACAAGCATCATAGAGGACTTACTATGTGCTAGGCACTGAAAGGTGCTGGGAAAAGAGTGGCAAACAAGGGAGACACAGCCCATGTTTTTGGAAACAACTTAATTAACTAACTTACATAATTAACTGATTTACAATGGACACGGGCCATAAGGAATACAGATTTTCAGAAATCCTGACTGTGGCACATGACTTATTCCTGGAGTGGGGCTGAGGCCAGAGGAGACATTAGGAGAAAAGATATTGCAGTTGAGCTCTGGAGCATGACAAGGAAATAGCTACATGAAGAAAGGGGTGGGGTAATATTTACTCTAGACTAGGGGTGTCGAACTCAATCAGAGAAGGGGCCAAAATCTAAAATCCAGCCTAAATCGCGGGCCGAATGGTTTACTGAACAGTCATAAACTGTCATTGTGATGGAAACGCAGCGGAGTGCAGTGATGACAGCGCGGTGCGGGCCACATTGCAAGGCCTGGCGGGACGGATTTGGCCCGCGGGCCTTGTGTTTGACACATGTGCTCTAGACAGATAGACCAGCATTCCAGAAGCCCTGAGACAGAGAGGTTCTTGATATTTTCAAAGACCTGAGAAAAGGTCCTCGTGCCTGTGACTGAGAAAGCAAAGGGCTGGTGAGGTTAAACCGAGATGGGAATGGGACCTACGGGGCCATGTTAAAGGTTCTGGTCTTTAAGCTACTAGAAACTGTGGACCACTCCAGAGTTTTAAGCAAGGGAGACGTGTGATCGGGAGATGTCTAATTCACCAAGACAAGCTATTGCTCAGGAAATGCAAGCAGTAGATAATTCACACAAGTGACAGGTGTACTGATGGAAGAAAAGGGAAGAGATGGTGACATTTAGAACATGAAGCAGACAAAGCTGATGACTGGATATAAATCTATTACCACTGTGCACTCCTAATTCTCATAAACTCAACAATGAATTTTCCTTAGTTTTATAAAATGTTTTCTAATGGGAGTTTTAAGACATACTTCAATCACATACCTATAGAAAAATAGACATTGCTTATGTATTCTTGGCAGTATTAAGAACTAGACCTTAGAACTGATAAGACATTTCCCACTCCTATGAGGTATAATCACATTTTTATTTTTCAGCTTCCTCAGAGGTTAGTTAAATCTCAAAGGTTCATTTGTGATGGATGTCTTAATAACACAAACTTGATATTGTCACTGACTTAGCCAGAAATACATCTGGAGAATTATTTCTTGCTACAACAGAAAGTGCAAAACCCCAGGAACAGAAAAGTTACCTGATGATTCTGTTCTACTCCACGCCCTCCGTGCAGGTGCAATTGTCCCAGACCGACCTGAAAATAATAAATAAATAAAAAAATGAGGAAAAGTCAAGGGTAGCATCTGGAGTGTGATTACCGTTAAATCAATAAGAAAACACTTGGTCATAAAAAGGTTTCTATTTATTACAAAAATTGAAAGATTTAGCCTTACTGCCTGAAGATTTTACGCTACTTTACTAAAAACTAAAAATATCTGCTTTTAATCCAATACAGAATTTGCCACCAATGAATCTACTCTAAAGGAAATACTCAAGAATATTAATCTGAGTAAATTATGATCGAAGATGAGCAAAGGAAACATGAGCAGTTCTGAAGAGCATCTGAAATCCCACATGTCCCTGAGCCTTTTTGTTTCTGGAGAAAGTGACAGGTTTTGTCCTTAGTGACTCCATGAGGAGCCTTCATCATCACTGTAATGCTGTTCCACTCAAGCAGTTTTCAACTGTGGTGCTCAGCAGAGACACCCTGCCAGCTTTTAGAAACCATGAATGCCTAGTCCACATCCCAGATGAAAATCCAAATGGTATGTCTTGCCGAAACCAGTTTGGCTCAGTGGATAGAGCGTCGGCCTATGGACTGAAAGGTCCCAGGTTCGATTCCGGTCAAGGGCATGTGCCTTGTTTGGGGGCACATTCCCAGAGGGGGGGTGTGCAGGAGGCAGCTGATCGATGTTTCTCTCTCATTGATGTTTCTAACTCTCTATCCCTCTTTCTTCTTCTCTGTAAAAAATTAATAAAATATATTTAAAAAAAAACAATGATGTGTATAATAATAGCGTAGCTAATAACTGCTAAGAGCAATTGTTACTTATAGATATAAATGCTTGCCCTAGAGACTGTAGTACACAATGCATTAAGACAGTACATGAGAAGTTGAAACGCATACCTGTGCTTGTACATCACCCTTTTCAGCTAGGAACTGGTAATACTGAATCAAATCTTCTTCTAGCATCCCACTGTTCATTCCTGGGTTTTCCACTTCATCGGGGAGCCGTATTCTCTGCACTACTGAGCCTCCTGTCAGCGAGATATCACTAGCAACTGCAACAGGAAGACAAAATGATGACATGGATGAAAGTCAGCAGGAGTGTCCCACAGAGAAAAGTACAATTCGAGTTGCCAAATGTTGACAGATATTATGTTACAGGAAACTGTTCCTATAGTATTCTATAGATATAAAACAGCAATCTAAAGTAAATTTGGTTTTTCTACAAAATACTGAAGAAGTGAAATCCATAGCAAAATTTAAAAAAAGGCAAGTACTTATTAATCAACTAGGGTAGGGGTGGGGAATGTCTAGTCTACGGGTCTAAAATAATTTGATCTGGCCCTGCCAGGGCATGAGGGGTGAGTTAATTAAAGTTTAACCAAAGATAGCAGTCTAATTTTTAAATTCCTAATTTTGTATGGCCTGTGAATGATGTTATAAATATCCAAATGGCCACTGGCAGGAAAAAAATCATCTTTACTCACCCCTGAACTAGGGTAAAGACAATTCTACTTGAAAAGAGCCATTCATGACATTTCAAGTAGTACAATAAAAATAGATGAATTTAAAATTAGTTGTTTTATGGGTGTGTTTGTGTTGTTGTTGTTTTTTGTAAGGTGAAAGGCAAAAGCATAGGTACCATGGTTGGCCACAAGACGGTAATGAGTCAGCGCGGATTCACAACTCTGGAGGACCCCGATGCCAGCCCAGTAGCGGTAGCCCTGCAACACAGCCTCAGTGAGAAGACGGGCAGTTTATGTGCTTCAGTGCATCCCATTAGAACAAATACTGCTAACCATTCTCGGCATGCTATTCTGCTGTCTTCCAGTCCAAGGACACTATCACCCTATTTTTCCTAAGCTTTAGGTCATGAGGCAATTTATTTAGCCATTACAACAAGCAGACTATAAATAACTAAGAACTAGAAAATAAAAAATAAATTTTCTAGAGCAATTGGAATTGATGCAATGAACTTTATGCAGTATGCGCATTTTATCTATAGGAGAAAATTACTTAAGGTCATGCTTGGAACAGATTTATTCTTATTTTATACACAATTTAAAAAAAGGGTTACTCTTTCAAATTAGCAAAGAAGAAGCAACAAATGAGAAAAATAGGGAAGTCAAGGGACTATTTAAAAGCAGCCCAGCAATAAATGACTCAGAATAAGGGGAAGAGAGCTTAATAATAAAGAGCAAGGAACAGAAAGTAGAGCTCTCTGGAGTCATTTGGTACAGACTCAAAATAACTTTACAAGCTTTAACAATCCTTAGGGCATTACTGTATAATAGCATATTTAATGTTCTTACTCTGTATAGCTGTTGAAGATTGGTAAGTAATTGGAACAAACCCTTATTTTTCACTTAAACTCCCTCAGCAGTTTACCCTTGTAAACAAGACAGAGTCCATGTAAACAGGACGAAGTCCATGCTCCTTGGCATGACGTACAGCTGCTTCTGTGATTCCTGTTCATCTGCCCAGTTGTGAACTACTGGTAGGCATTCTACTCTCTGGCCCACCTTAGTGCTTGTGTTTTCTTGCAAACACCACATTCCCTCTTGGTGCTGTCCCTCTACATTCTATCTTGCTCCCGCTGCCTGGATACCTCTGCTTTTTACATTCACTCACCACAATTTACCCTTCAAGAACAGGGTGAGCTGCTTCTTTCCTCAGAAATATTGATACCTCCTTAAGTCCCTCTCCTTCCAATGCCACTTTCTAGGTCAGTGTTCGGCAAACCGCAGCTCTTTGGCCCCTTATGTGTGGCTCTTCCAAAAAATACCACGTGCGGGCGCACATGTACAGTGCGAATGAAACTTTGTGGCCCATTCACAGAAGTCGGTTTTTGGCCTGGGCGAGTCTATTTTGAAGAAGTGGCGTTAGAACACTCAAGTGGCCAAAGAGCCGCATGTGGCTGGCGAGCAGCGGTTTGCCGACCACTCTTCTAGGTGATTCCTTGACATTCTCATGCTGTGCTATAATAGCCTCCTTATTTGTGCCTCCCTTTCTTGATTAAAAACTTGTTGAACTGTATCTTACTCATCTTTGGTATCCCAATGACACGTACTCAATGAATATTTTTGGAACGTATGAGTAAAATTAGTTAGGAACCACCCAGCTGGCCAGAGATACAGATTGTCCTTTTTTTTTAAGTATTATAGCTCATCAATGACTAAGCTGTAAATTCTTTCCCATATTTTTTCCTGTTTATTTTCCCCCCCTGCTTTCAGTCTCATTTCTGCTTACTCTGTCTTTTATGTTCTTGTAAGAATGAATTTATGTATTCATTTGAAACATAGTAATATGATAGAGGTCATGTGACTTAGCCAAATTCCATTTATGAAGTACAAGGCAGATTTAATACACTAAAGAATTTAGTGGAAAAATTCTCTATTTCATCACTAAGCCATTTAAGGGATCAATGGTATCAAATGGCACATTAAAGATATTTTGTAATGAACTTTAAAGGACCACTGAATAGGTTTATGTTCTAAAAAACGCAAGATAGAACAGGTAGATCAAGAGGATGAAATAATTGAAAAGAAGGCAAAAAAAGCTAAGGTTAAAATTAAAGTTGAAGTAGAAGAGCAAGAAGAAGAAGAAGAAGAAGGACTACTAGTGATGGAAGAACAGGAGACATCTGTAAAGAAGAAGAAGAAAAAAGATAAGAAGAAACACATAAAGGAAGAACCGCTTTCTGAGGAAGAACCATGCACCAGCACAGCGGTTCTTAGTCCAGAGAAAAAGAAGAAAAAGAAGAAGAAAGGCAATGAGGACTAATGGAAAGGAATAACAATTGTATCACCTGGATACATCGTCCTTAAGATTCAGTCAAGAGTATGCCAGAGATGCTTTTTAAGATGATCGAGATGAACAGAGGTTTAGTAAAACAAAGTGATTACTCATCTATAGCTTTTCAAACCTACTTGTGTCTTGACATCAACCCTGTTAACTTTATTATGTCATTATTTTTAGTCTTTGTAATACAAATAAAAATATTTTCTTGTTAAAAAAAAATTAAAAAAAATAAAGGACCACTGAATAGGTTTAAAGAACTTTATAGGTTCTTTACATTGTAGGTCATTCACCAATTTCAATATAACATTGTGACAACCAATCTAAAAAAATGACTTTGACAAACAGTTCCAACTTACGAAAAATAAAAAAGAGCCATTTATAAGATATTTAAGAGCAATCAGCCAAACTAGTCATTTTCATAAAAAATTGTGAACTCTGTTTTCATCCACATGTAGATTCAGTTATTGTATTCATTAATAAGACTATTCCATTGAGTATTTGGTCTTAGTGAATAAAAGTAAATCTGAATCATGCAAGTCAGAAAAGTCATGGTCATTCGTTAACCAAAAATTCTTCTGCTGCTCAATGTTAGTATTCTTCCATTTAAGTCTTACTTACCAAAATCATGTGGGCTATTAGGTTGCCCCCAAGAGCTCCAAAAGTATAATATACAAGGGCCTGTGAATGAAAAAAAGATGCTTAATTGAACATAGGCACATTATTTACTCAATTCAAAATGTCATATAAATTAAAGTTTTAATAATATTACCTTTGCCTGACTTGAATTAACACCAAGTCCAGAGGCGTAGAGAAAGCCAAGAGCCTGAAATAAAATGATAACTGCCTTTGGTGGAAGTTTATTCAAGACAGACATAGTTTTATGAACTCTGAAAAGATGAAAGAATCTTTAAATGGGAAACAATTTAAGTTGTTGCAAGTATGTACAACTTGGAATTAAAGAGCCTTAGAAATGCATTCAAGGTTTTACAAATTATACAATGAAATACAACTTTAAACAAGTCAAAATGTTTATCTTGAAAATTAAAGATAACTTAATAACTTATTAACTAGGGGGAAAAAAAAGTCTGAACATAAACATGGCTTTTACTTGATCTTGATGAACTATTATAAGAACAGAACAAATCAACACAATGGATAAGAGATTGCCAAGATCCACTATCCCAGGAACACAAAGAGGCAGCCAGAGGTCAAGGTGAAGCAGTCAAGGAAGAAAGGTCACTTTACAATGCTAGAGCACACCATTTTCTAAAAAAATTCAACCAATCAAAGAATGCACTAGTAAAGTCCTATCCTTTGCCTTGACAACATCGAAGTATAAGCTAATGTTGAAATAGTCTGAAAACAGACTTCTGTGACTAAGCAAATCTAAAACCTTCAGTAAACCTGAATTATTAAAGGCATCTTATATAATAGAGCTAATATGCAAATTGACCCTCACGCCCTCATAAGATGGCTGCCTACAACCAGGCTGGCAGGGGGTTTAGTGAGGGACGACCAAATGACTGAGCAGCAGGCTGTGTGGGGCAACAAGGTTGGCAGGGGGGTATAGTTGGGGGTGACCAGGCAGGTGGGGGCAGTTAGGAGTGACCAGTCCAGTGGGAGGTTGCAGTTGGGGGCAACCAGGCCTGCGGGGGGAGGGGGATGGGGGGGAGGGAGGAAGGGTAAGGGGTGACCAGGCCAGCAGGGGAGGGGGGAGGGCAGTTAAGGAACGACCAGGCTAGCAGGGAGGGGGAAGTTGAGGAGCAACCTGGCAGGCAGCGGGGGGTAGTTAGGGGTGACCAGGTCAGCAGGGGGGTACAGTTAGGGGCGACCAGGCAGGCAGGCAGGCAGGTGAGTAATTAGGAGCCAATGATCCAGGATTGTAAGAGGGATGTTCAACTAAACCAGCAGTTGGACATTCCCCCAGGGGACTGGAGGGTGCAGGCTGGGCTAAGAGGACCCCTGCCCCCCATACATGAATTTTGTACACCAGACCTCTAGTTTTAAATAAATGTAGTGGCACCCTAAATCCTAGTTGTCAACCTTACCATTACTAATAGGGAATCAAACAGATATTTTGTATCAAATGGTGTGATGCAATATGGAATGCAGAACATCCCCATAATGCAGTCCAGCCAAAAATATTTAACTAGAGTTCATCACAGTCTTTAGCTGTGACAGCCAGTTTATAGGAAATATAGATGATGAAAAAACAAACTAAAGAACACTATGCAGAAGTAAATGGATAAACTGAGTGAGGACAATCTGCAGAAAAATGGGCACTCTCTAACACAGAAAGAAAAAAAGAAAGGGGATGGTAATGCCAGAAATAACAGCAGAATATAAGGTATAGTCCGGGGTTAGGTTTGGACAAAACTAGTATAAAGGAAATGCTAAGGGTATTATATGATGCAGAAATTTACTGGCAAAGAAAGGGTATTATATGCTAAGGGTATTATATGATGATACCCTTATGAATATGCTAAGGGTATTATATGATGCAGAAATTTACTGGCAAAGAAAGGTGAAGATTAACGATTGAAAATAGCACATTATGGAACAGTAGACAATGACATCTTATTTTAATCAAGAATTTGTATGTATCTATACACACACAAAAAAAAAAGGTCTAGGGGTGTGTGCATGCATTAACATACTATTATACCAATGCTCATGTCTACTTGTACATATGCATTGTTGATTTTCTTAGCATTTTTAGTTTGTATTTCTAGTTTCTTATAATAGACCTGTACTGCTTCTGTAATATACATATATATACATATATATACATATATATATATGTGTGTATATATATATATATATATATATATATATATATATTTAAAAACATCAAGATTAATAAGAGTTGGAGCATCGGAACTTTGGAAAGAAATGCACTGGTAATTTAGGTATAAGCCAATTACCTTTACGTTTCATTCACTACAGATCAAATCTGGAAAACTACAGACATAATTGTGGCAAGATGCCTTAAGTGACTATAAACGTTCTCAGACAAAGGAAAAAGACTAAGAAGTTTGATAAAACGATCTGCCACAAAATTAATATTCAAAGATATTTTATTTTTATTTAAAATTGATTTCATAGATGAAGGGAAAGAAAGAAAAACATCAATGATAAGAGAGAATCATTGATCAGCTCCCTCCTGCACACCCCACACTGGGGATCGAGCCTGCAACCCAGGCATGTGCCCTGACTGGGAATCGAACTCTGATCTCCTGGTTCATAGGTAGATGCTCAACCACTGAGCCACACCAGCTGGGCAAGATATTTCATTTTTATTTTCAAAAGAAGTTAGGGCACAAAGATTAAGCTGCTGTTAAAATAAACAAGTGCTGTGTGGGAGGAGACTCTCCAGTGCAAGTACACTTACAGCCTGTCCCTTGGGAGAGCCTTCCTCAGTCAGCTTCTCAAACATCTCTTTAGCCGTCTGGAGGTTCTGGGTCAGGTAATCACCAAACAAAAGAGCATACGACACTCTCTCCAGGGCCTTGGTATGGTTCATGCTTGCTGCCTTTTGAAGATACCGATACGCTCTTTAAATGTAAACAATTAAAAACACATTAGCAATAATTCGGACTTTTATTACATTTTTTAAAGATCTGCTGAAATGCAACACAAACAATTTCCTTATTCTATAGTCATGTTACTTATGTGTGGAAAACATACTGGCTACTCTGTTTTTAAGTAAGGTACCAGTTTTCTCTGTCATCCTAATACCTTGGAATAGTCTAATTACACTAATGGTAATTCCCAAAACTTCCAGAAACATTAACTACACGTGCAGTGAAAGAACTGTAATAATACGGTGTCCTGTAAATAATCCAGTGATAACCATTGCAATTTAAAAAATATCTTTGCACAGAATATAAGTCAGCTGAAATTAGTGGGACATAAAATATTAGAAGACAGTCACTTGTTTTACATTCTTTCCAAGCATAAATTCCTAAATTCTAGTCTTTGTCTGCAAGAATATTATAAAACAAAAACAAACGAACAACAACAACAATAACTCCTTTTGTTTGTTTTATGTAATTTTAAATTCTAAATAGCATATGTATCCTTGGTTCTTGGAAACTACAACTTTAGCCCATTATTTCCATTCTGCTCATTGTAATTGGTGGGGTCAGTATTTACACCCTTTTTATTCTAACAAGCTAATATCTGATAAAAAGAATGCCACTGAAGTCCATATATGGTAAACTTCTTATAATGCAACTTAACAAAGCCTCTGTTCTGGTGAAACACTTTAAAAAAAAAGAAAACTTCGCTATTCATCTCTATAATGACCTATCTATCTTAGGGAGGCATCTACTCGCAGTGCTACGTACTCTCTTTTTTGGCTTTTCTTATTGCTTCCATTGAGGATTTTCATCCCAGTCTGGTACATCACTTCTGCTTCCTGCATTTGCCGTCTTTTAGTAGCCTCCTCTTCAGCTAAAAACAAAATGTTAAATGCACTTAAATGGATTTTAATTCTACACCAATTATTTATCAAGCATCAGCGTGTATTCTGCCTTTTGAGAACACAAATACAATTAATGATCTTTCATTCTTTTACAAAGCTGACTCCAAAGACACATATTTTAGCTGTGGCCTTTACCTGACAGAAGATAAAACATAAAACACACACAACTTGTTTACATCACGCAATATCAACTTGCTTTTGGGGGGTACTTTTCTGCTAGTAATTCTAAAACTTTTAATATAATTTGACTGAAATTTCAAGAGCAAATTATGATTATGTGCCAAGTCAGCTAAAATGAGGACAAAAGGATTATTAAAAAACAATAGTCAGCCCTTGCTGGTTTGGCTCAGCAGATAGATAGAACGTCAGCCTTGCCGAAACCAGTTTGGCTCAGTGGATAAAGCGTCAGCCTGCGGACTGAAGGGTCCCACATTCAATTCTGGTCAAGGGCATGTACCTCGGTTGTGGGCACATCCTCAGTGTGGGGAGTGCAGGAGGCAGCTGATTGATGATTCTCTCTCATCGATGTTTCTAACTCTCTATTCCTCTCTCTTCCAATGTAAAAAATCAATAATATATATATATATATATATATTTTTTAATATATTTTATTGATTTTGTACAGAGAGGAAGGGAGAGAGATAGAGAGTTAGAAACATCGATGAGAGTAATCAATCAGCTGCCTCTTGCACACCCCCTACTGGGGATATGCCCGCAACCGAGGTACATGCCCTTGACCGGAATCGAACCCAGGACCCTTCAGTCCCCAAGCTGATGCTCTATCCATTGAGCCAAACTGGTCTCAGCAAAATATATATTTAAAAAAAAAAAAATAGAACATCGATAATGATTAAAAAATAAATAAAGTCAGAAAAAATACCATTTTAGTTAAAGGACACTTTTTAAAAATTAATATACTTTTATTGATTTCAGAGAAGGGAGAGGGAAAGAGAAATGGAAACATCAATGATGAGAGAGAATCATTGATCAGCTGCCTCCCTACCTGCCCCCTCCTGTGGATGAAGCCAAAACAACCGAGCACGTGCCTTTGATGGGAATCGAACCCAGGACCCTTCAGTCTACATGCCGATGCTCTATCCACAGAGCCAAACTAGCGCAGGGGTCTTCAAACTACGGCCCGCGGGCCACATGCGGCCTGCAGAGGAGTCTGATCCGGCTCGCCAGGTTTTTTGGGCAGTGAGCGCAGCCGAGGTGTAACAGTAGGAATTAGTAGTTCATATAGTCCGGCCCTCCAGCTCTCTGAGGGACCGTGATCTGGCCCCCACTTTAAAAAGTTTGAGGATGCCTGATTAGGGCACTCAAAGGACACTTTATTTTTTTATATATATATTTTATTTATTACAGAGAAGAAGGAAGAGAGAGTTAGAAACATCCATCAGCTGCTTCCTGCACACCCCCCACTGGGGATGTGCCCGTAACCAAGGTACAGGCCTTTTACCTGAATCAAACTCAGAACATCTCAGTCCGCAGACTGATGCTCTATCCACTGAACAAACCAGTTTTGGCTCAAAGGACACTTCAAAAGCCTCACCTGAAATACTGTGTATCTTTATAAGGGTAAAGTATTTGATTAATTATATAATAAAAAATTTGTAAAATAACTGATTTTTATTAAATGTAGTTCTTGATTAAAGTTCAAGCTCTATTTTTTCCTTATTCACCAATACTTAAAATCACAGAATTGTTATAGATTTCTCAAAAATTATTTTGCTACTGTAATATAGTATTGTATCAGAAATCTAGAACTCATTAAGAGATATCTGAATATTTCATTAGGACCAATATTCATAGAAACAGGAGTTCTTATATACAAAGATCTGATTTTATTATACCAAAGTTCCTAATCATACTGGCCTACACACAAGATTTGATGTTATCTTCTAGGAGTGCCTAATTATCTATCAAAGCCATTATTTTGAAAGTGTTATTTGAAATCAAAGGAGATATGTTTAAGATTTCCTGTTGTTCTGCCGAAACTGGTTTGGCTCAGTAGATGGAGCATCGGTCTGCGGACTGAGGGGTCTCATGTTCGATTCCGGTCAATGGTATGTGCATTGGTTGCAGGCACATCCCCAGTATGGGGTGTGCGGGAGGCAGCTGGTCAATGTTTCTCTCTCATTGATGTTTCTGGCTCTCTATCCCTTTCCTTTCCTCTCTGTTAAAAAACCAATAAAATTTTTTTTTTTTAAAAAAGAAAAAGATTTTCTGTTGTTCTTTATTAGTTACAAAGTTTTTCCTGAAAAAATACTTTTAGAGGTCAGCCCCCTTATACTGACATTAACATGCAGGAAAGTGAAACATACATGATTTTTCAAATGCTACTAAGCACAGCACGTATTACTCCAAGTGTTTTTAAAGATTTTCAAAAATATATATTTTTGTTGATTTCAGAGAGGAAGGGAGAGGGTAAATAGATACATCAATGAGAGAGAATCACCAATTGGCTGCCCCTCCTCCCCCTGGAAGTCAAGCCCACAATCCAGGCATGTGCCCCTAACCAGAATCGAAGCCACGACACCCCCAGTCCACAGGCCAATACTCCATCCACTGAGCCAAAATGGCCAGGGCTAAAAGATTTTTTTAAAAATTGATTTGAGAAAAAAGAGAAGAAGGTGCAGGTGGGAGAGAGACAGAGAAACATCGATACAAGAAAACAGATGGACTGCCTCTTGAATGTCCCCTACCGGGTATTAAGCCTGTAATCCATGCATGTGCCCTGACCTGGAATCTAACTGGCAACCTTTCAGTGCAGAGGAAAGGACACTCAATCAAGTAAGTCACAAAGGCCAGGGCTCAAAATGTTTTTTAAAAGTTATTATTTTTCTTCTAACCACTGTTTTAAAAATATATATATTTTTTATTTATTTCAGAGAGAAAGGGAGGAACATCAATGATGAGAGAGAATCATTGATTGGCTTGCTGCCTCCACGTCCCCACTGGGGATAGAGCCAGCAATCCAGGCATGTGCCCTGACTGGAAATCAAATCATGACCTCCTGGTTCATAGGTCGATGATCAACCATTCAGCCACACAAGGTAGGCTCTTCCTTATCACGCTTAACTTTCTCCATAATGCTGTTTCCTTTACTATTAAAAAATGTTTTACATTTATTAAATTAGCAGCCTGCCTGAGGGTTTGCAGAACAACTTGTGCACACCAACAGAAAGCCCTCTCTAAATAAGACAGGGTGATAAGTTGCCTGAGTGACAGGTTGGAAATAAGTACACTGCATGCTTCCTGTGCTAAACTCTGTTCTTTAAGGCTATAACCATATTATTAACATGGTTGACAGACCATGTCTGTCAAGGGTAGAAAAAGATGGCTAGCAGAGGCCTTAAAGATATTTTTCAAGACATGGAGCAACGGGAAATTCCTCCTACAAATCAATACTTACTTTCACAAAAGCCCCACTTTTCATCTGCCTTGTAGTCATAGGTTGTAGCACACCATAGTCTGCCATCTTTCCTCCCATCTGACGTGCACTCATCATATTCCTTATCCAGGAAAAGAAAAGGGAAGTGGCAGGGCTCTCCATGTGCTGTGCCTTCAATGGCGGTCAAAGCTGGAAAGATAAGAAGAAAAATTAAAACATGAACAGCACCTGTGGTATTCATGGATTCAACACCATCAATTTCAGCTATTAGAATTTAAAGATGAAGATACATGATTTGGAATGAGGAATATACAAAAAGTCAGCACTAATCCTATTTAGGGGTGACTTGAAGGTGAGTCAACTTAGTGAGCATGAATAGCTGACTACCCAGCTCTGTAAATAGCTTAGGATTGCTGAAGGTCTTGAGATACAATAACCTTAGAATGTAGTCTACTGTACAACTTCTGTCCAACTAGTGAGCAAAAAATGAGGCAAATGCAACTGAATCAATTCCACTGCTTGGCACAACTCTCCTATTTTCCAAGTCAATTTCTCTAATAATATAAATACTAGGAAAATGATCCCTCAACATTTTACTAGAGCACTTATAATACATATTGAGTTTCTTTCTTTACCATACTCTAGTTCCTACTAGACTTAGAGTTTAAGGGTGGAGACCCTATCTTTAATTTGTTCCATAAGTGCTGAGGATCTCCTAGATGCCAGGAATGAAGTGGAGCAGAGGTCTCTGCTCTATAGAACTTACTGCCTCACAAGGAAGACAAGCATTAAACAAAAGTGTGATCGATGTTATGGAAAGGAAAGCCTCCCCTCGCCAGAACTAAAGCTTACAATGAACCTCCCAGAGCAGCGGTCGCCAACCTTTCTGACCTCACGGACCACCAGTGGTCCTCGAACCAGCGGTTGCTGTCCCAGAGGGAGTGGTTGAAAGGCTGCAGGGTGAGGTGGGGAAAAATAGTACAGACAGAGGGAGCAGGTATGATAAGAAAAGAAAATAAGCATGGTACATTAGACAAAATAAAAAGAGTTCAGGAAATTGGGACATACACGGTGAGTGACAAAGTAGATGAGAGAAGCAGCTAAAGAAGCACAAAGAAGCTAAGGTCCTGACTAATCTTACTGAAGAGTTTGAACTTCATCTCATCCTGAGAACAGTGGAACTCACATAAGAGTTTTAAGTAGGAGTGACATGCTCATTTTGCTAAAAGAGTGGACAATCGAATGGAGGGAGGGTTGGATAAGGTGACCAGTCCAAAGTTTGTGACAATCATCTAACCCAGAGGTAATGGGAGCTTGAAGAGGATCATGGAATGAAAGAAGTGGGAATACTGAAGTGATGCTAAGGAAGTAGATATGGTTCTACCTAGTGACTGACTAGATGCACAGAGGAGAGGAGGCAAGGAAGCTCCCAGGTGTTGGGCTTTAGGAAGGGAGTAGAAGGTTGTCCTTACTAAGATAAGAGGTTCCCGCTCCTTAACTGCTCGAAGTGACTCACTGTATCTAAACTGTTTGGAAAAACAATGTGGTTTATGCTCAACATCTGTTTTCTTTCTCAAGTCTGTAATTTTGGTACATGCTAGACAGAGAGTGATTACATGATTAGTCTCCATTAAACACTCCAAGTGCTGGGTCACTGATGAGCCTCTGGAAGGGAACATTTCCTGTGCTGTCACTTGTGCCACGGCACTTTGCTGGGTCCAAAGGCTCTCCCTGGAAACTTGCATCTGGCTTCCTTTGGACTTTGCCTCATCGTGACTTTGCTTTGTATTCTTTCACTATAATAAATCACAGCCATGAGTACAACTATATGCTGAGTCCTCCCAGCAAATCACTGAACCTAGGGGTGGTCTTGGGGACCCCCAACATTAATTGACCCTAACTCACTGAAATCCAGTGCGAGCGGTTTGGGAAAGGAAGGATAAGGGCAGGGTATGATGAATTTTGGGTTCCTGGTGGGTATGGAGTCACCTCGGCATGCAGCAGCAGCAGCGGAGCGCTGTGTGTGTGAGAGGGAGAAGTAACTTGTGGAACTTGAGAACAGATCCAGCTCCAGGAGAGCAGGCTCGCTGGGCTCCCAGCTGCTCTGGGCCATCCTGGTTAAAGTGGTGATGCCTTTGGGTTTGTTCTCTTCTTGGAATAGGAGAAAGGACCACCCACTCCCCGTCAAATTTCCAAAGGTGAAAGGTCAAAATGTTAAAACTGGGGGTGGGGAGTAGTGGTGAGGGGAAGGGAGTTAAATTAGGTCCTAGGGCTGGAGCCAAATTTTAGATACACCAGAAAAAAAGGGGAGGGAGGTAACATTCCAGCAGTTTTCTCCCAGCTGCAGCAGTTTTCCCTACTGTCCTTCCTCCCCTGCATTCCAGCCCAATCTTCCCTGGCTGCTGTGATGCTAACTAACACAGCAAGTGTTAAAGTTTTAAGTAAATTTGCAATGATGGGGGAGAAAGGGGGGAAATTGCAGTGGCTCTGTATTTTGTGGCTATTACATTTGAATGTATAGTAAAAATTGATAGAAAATGTTAAATGTTTGTAATCCCATATATGCCAGAGGAATAATCCTGATCAGGGAAAGCTGCACAGAAAAATGTGTCAGGGACACAGCTTCCATGCTTTTGCTACTGCTGGGTGGTTGTAACTTAAACTCTATGAGTATTGGGAGTAGGATAAGTTTCAGTAACTGAGGAGGAGCAGAGTTTGCTAGCCCAAAATATGCCTTTCTGAGATATAATTTAAGCTGATTATTTTTAAAAAATATTTTTTATTGATTTTTTACAGAGAGGAAGGGAGAAGGATAGAGAGTTAGAAACATCGATGAGAGAGGAACATCGATCAGCTGCCTCCTGCACACCCTCCACTGGGGATGTGCCCGAAACCAAGGTACATGCCCTTGACTGGAATAGAATCTGGGACCCTTCAGTCTGAAGGCCAACGCTCTATCCACTGAGCCAAACCAGTCAGGGCGAGCTGGTTATTTTTAAGAAACAAAAAGACTCAAGAAGAGCCTTTTAACCTCCTCCTACTCCTTACCTGCCTAAAGGAATTGAGATTTAAAAATTCCTGCTGCAGGACTTTATAGAAGATCACCTTAGCGTAATAAGAACCAAGTGAGGCAGACAGGGAGAAACCCAGCCAAATCTGCTAGACTCCCCTCCTTGCCCCACTATTTCTGGGTGGCCCTGCAAGAATTTGTTCACCAAAATACTTGCTCCTTTCCACCTACCTGTGAATTGCCTATATTCCCTTTGAATTCCAAACTACTATTCTAGCCCCCCTTCTCCTTAGCTCAAAATGATATGTAAGTCTCAACTGCTCCATTTGTCCATCCTTCCCAGATTCTTACAAAACCCCATATGTACATAAATAATAAATGTGATTATTTTCTCCTATTAATCTGTCTCATCTCAATTTGACTAGACCAGCCAGAATAATGAGGAAAAAGAGGGGACATTTCCACTCTCCCACACAATGGATGATATAGACTTCTGCTTATTGGAGCCTCTGGCAAGAGGGACACATGAAGAAAGAGAGGTGATCCACAGATGGAAATACACGTTTGAAGTTCTAAAAAGCAGATTTAGTTTGCGAGTGAGTGCTTGTGAAGGCAGAAGTCTGAATCTTAGAGACAGATGCACAGGTTTGTGAGTGGATCATTTTGGACTCAAAGAAAGACCCGGCTAAAGGGTGCAGGAAAGATACTGCCACGGGGACTTCTGGCCCTGCAGTATCTTGCTTTGGTGCTGCCGTAGAAAAGCCTCTGGCTTTTAACAGAATCCTGAACTTACAGATCCTCAGTGCCTGGGCTTGATTCTAAGCTACAAGCTGATACTGTCTGGGCTTGAGTCTAAGGTGCAAGCTGATACTGTCTGGTATAGGCTTCCAGCCTCGGCGTGAGTGGAACTGAAAGCAGGTCTGGGCTCGATAAACAGAACTCAGGCAGTGAGTGACCTCTGCACATTAGGTCCCCTCTCTGTGGGGCCTACACCGAGAGGAAATCAAGAATGCTGGGCTACACTGTCTGAGCCACATACAAATGTCCACAGGACAGGGCGTGCTTTTGGCTGGGACCATCTGAAATCAAGCTGCTGACCAGCTGTATGTTCCGACAGAGACTGACTTAACCTGTGACCTGCCCAAAGCTGCAAGCTGGGAGAGGATGCCTCTCAGGGGCTGTGACCCTCCACTCACGGGTGACAGGATGAAAAGGCTCCTAACCCCCTCGGGAACATGTCTCACTGTGGGGTGGAGGGGTCCTTGTGTCTGGCTCTCCTGGTGAGCTGCTGTTTGCAACAATCAGCTGATTACCTGACTCTGCTGCCCTCACCTTTCCCCTAGTGGACTCACCTTAGTGCAATTGGATTATTCATTGCAGCTCGCCTCAGAAAGGGCTTGACGTACTTGGCCAGTGTTGCTCAGTGGATGAGCACTGACCCATGCACCAGGAGGTCCCAGTTTGATTACCAGACAGGGCCCATGTCTGGGTTGCAGGATCGATCCCCAGTGCGGGGCATGCAGGAGGCAGCTGATCAATTCTCTCTCATCATTGATGTTTCTATCCCTCTCTCCCTCTTCCTTCCTCTCTATGAAAAACATATTTCAATAAAAACATATTTCAAAGAGGGTTTGACCTTTTCTAGGCTGCTCACTGGATAAGGGGAAGGAGGTTATGTAAGCTGATATTGAAATTTTTTAAGAATTCAGGATTCTGTCTTGAACAATTCCTGAACATGATGTCTTTCTAGTTAAGTTGTATAGAAATGTTTTTCTGTGGTGAAGGTGTTTGGTCCCTCTTGCACACTACCCCTCCAGATGAAAGGTCTGGTGAGAGTAGGGGATGATTGTGAAAAAACAACAACATAAAATTATGATTACTGAATGGAAACAATGATTTGGCAACAACCAAAGAAAATAAACCTAAACCTCTGCACCTGGAGAAGCACAAGAGAGGGGAGACGGTATTATGATCTTTGTTTTTTAAAACTTTTTCCGGGAACGCCTCCCTTTCCCTGAAGGAAAGCTCCTGTGCACCTTTCCCAGCTGTGGAGAGTGCTCTGCGCTCCGCCTGCGGAGCCCATGACCACGTGCCGCAGGGCTGACTACAAGGCGGGCGGCAGGAGGTGGCCCGGCCCCTGCCCTCTCCAAACGGAAACCTCCCGATGTGGTCCACAGTC